TAAACGTCATTTCGAACTTAACCGTCAACCCCCCATTGAGACCATATGAACGTGATTCCGCGTAAGTTCCCGCGTAAGACAGTGTTCCCTGCGCGCGATTTTTGTCCGTGACGCGTTCGTTTCGCCCGAAAGACACTGGGAACGAAAGAGAATCCAACATGGCGGTGGATGATTAGATTTTGATAATACAGTATGAACATATTTTGAAGCTAAAGCTGTGGCGAAGAGGCCTTTTGTGATATCAGTTGAGTTTTAAAAGGTATTTTACTTCGTCTGGCTGGATTTGGGTCCAAGGAAAATGGCTGCAGCGGCTGCAAAACACTAAAACAGAAACCATGTTCACCAATAACGCTCACGTTCCGACAACAGCCTGGCATTCCTCGTTAATGCAAGAATCCTACCCAAGGTAAACTAAAACATAAGAGTTGGTGTTTAAGATAGTTTTTCTACGGGACTTTTCTCGCTTGTTATTGCCCAAGTAAGCATTTAACTTGGCTGAATAAAATACTTTAAATGCTTTTTTCTTCATGCCCGCGGGAAATTTAAATTTCTAACATTTGGCACGCGCGCTGTTGCTTTGAACAGGAATATCGGAGTAGGCTTAATGTTTGTTTGAATTTTTATTGCACAAAAGTAAATTCGAACCCCTTCAAAGATCCTTTTAGGTAATGCTATAGGTACTAAAAGATGCCCAAATGGGACTGAGTGTAATTTGCATAATATCATGGGCGACAAATTACTCCTTCATTTTAGCGCGAAATTTCAGCTTCAATAAGATACATGAAAAATCACTCGATTCTGATTGGCTGAGAGCAGTGCAGTTTAAGTGTAACACAGTGCAAATTACACATCATCTGAAAGAAATTTTCTAAGCCAATAATATCAAGTGAAATGATGATGAAAGTGAGGTTTTCAAAAAGCTGAATTGCACTTGCTGAAGTGGCTCGTGCAATTTCAGCTTTTTGAAAAACTCACTCTTGCAAATTAATTCCAAATTAAACTCAAAACTGTATGCTTAACTAGCCAGGAGTCATTTTGTTTCCTTTATGATGCACATTTGTGGTGCCAAGTTTCAAGAACACTGCTTCAATATTTCAAGAGATATTTCAAGTTTATTTAGTATTTACCAATTTTTAGGAGCAAACAATAATTATGATGTTATTACTGCTCTAATCTGCGTGATAGAAAAATGTCAATATCTCAAAAAGAAAAACACCATTTTTCTGTATTTCAAAAGGCCTTTCAAATAAGCAGATTAAAATGATTTTTCATGTCATATACACTTAAAGCAAACATCCTACAACAGGTAGCAAAAATACCATGACAATCTGGTGTGAAGCTTACTTTGACACAGTGTGACCCCCCTATGAAAAATCCTGGCTACGCCCCTGCATTCCACTCTTTTGGTTGGCGAATACTTTGTATGAACCAATTGTTCTCCGAGTGCAGGGGTCTTTTACCCCAAAGATGACTTAACTAGTCCAAAATGTTAGGTTTTATTTTTAATTTTTCCTAGCTTACGTGTAACTTTTTAGCCTTGTAAATATCATCTTTGTACCAAATAATTTTGTCTGGTGATTGAAGTGAAGTAATAACTTTACTCACACCACAAGCATGTATTATTAGTTCGTGATGTATGCTGAAGTTTACTGACTTTGATTGTTGGGGTGTCTTTGCTACAATGTAGTTTTTGTAAAACAAAATATGACAACATAGAGATTACATTTTACAGGGCTCTCTCTATTCACCAGTTTAATATTTGTTTACCTTCTCATCATCCATCCAGGTTGAATAATGACAATGACAACTTGTCTGAAAATGTAGCAC